CTGGGCTAACGATATCACAATTTCGGCTTTGACGACTTAAGTGACCCACGGCTGACGCCAGTGTGCTCAAGATGGCGGGCGTGGGAGGAGAGGTCGTGGGCGGCTTGCGGTGACCCGTACGCAGATATGAGAGTATGGTTAGAGCGCCGGAAGCAATTGGATCGGCGAGATGGAGTGTTTGCAGCCACGAAGACCGTGCTCTGTCCTGTGGGAAGAAGCACAAACTTTATAAATAGTGCTGTGGTTGGTGTGGGAGCACAATGAGCTAAAATCATCATGGAAAAGGCTCACATTAATAATGGACGCTGAAATGTGAATATCCCATTTTGTTTGGAAGGATGCTGAAAACCTCAATCTGACACTGCGTACTGCTTCAATTACCCCTTTATGTATCCTTCACCCGTACGCATAACATTCTAGCTCTGTCGTGAGGGACGCAACATTCCGACGGTCAGACAATGGCCAGTGTCTTTATTTTAGAGCCGTTCGCAAGCAATGCTTTCCAAAAATGCGGTTGCTTGAGAATGAAACTCAGGAGTGGGTGAATGAACCCAAATGGTACAGCAAGCTCACGTGCTAAATGTTTTGAATGAGTTTTGTGATACCAAATGCTGAATTATTTATTTCTTTCCTCATATTCAGGAAAGTTCATCTTCAGCGTTAGCACGTTACCTGTTCAGATAGCCCACCTGTTCGGCTACCCGGGGTTTTATCACACATGGTGGACGCATGGTCGTTTACTTCCGGGTAAAAGATGATACCATTACATTTCCAGCGCAGTTGAGGCCGATGTGCCGCGCAGCAACATGTCTCCGTTTCTTCTGAGCCACTTCGCTCACTTCCCTACGTCAGATGACGCGAAGCTCGGACACTGACCAGGTCATATACCGACGGCGCCAGGGATACGAACGCGTGGCATGGGCTTCAACATGGTGATCTCCCCGTAGGAATTCCTAATATCGCCATCAGGGGGCACCGCTCGATGCTTGCGATGCGAATAACTCCGGAACCTTGAACTGGTCGGGCGAGAGAAAACACTTAATCCCTGGGTAGGCTATTGAACAGCAGAATTCTGGCTTAACTAGATCTGGTGAACATATGTTTTGAGATATTTTACTCCGACAACAGGGTAATTGTTTGATGTAGCGCGATATACGTCGCGACGAAAAGTGTGATTACGATCACAGCCGCAGCGAACGGTGAACCAGCGATGTATTAACATCTTGGTGTACTACATTGTGGTTTACTACTACGTAGCACAACTACCCTTATGGTGTGCGGTGAATTGTTGTTGAACTACCTCTTGACCAGTCTCACCATTTTGGGTTTGTCTGATATATTAAGGGCTTTGCATGAGACAAAATATCGTGCTAAAAAAATATCCCGCTGTAAAACAGGCACTGCAACTTTGGAGCATATCATGAAATACCACTGCAATGAAGTCGACGCATACATTATGCTTTTTAATCACAATTGAAAGCTCACCAAGGCAATGTTTATCATAAACAAACGATGATATAGCTTATTCATTGTGGGACTCTGAAAGGGTTGACTTATCACTGTTATATGGAAGTCTTTTGCTACAGAAACATGAGAGGTGCATCGGAGACATTTTCGAGTAAAACACATTTGATCCGGCGCGCTAATTTTCTATGGATCGGAGTCAGCTATCAGGCAAAAGATGCGAAGCAATGGGCAAAGATTTCGAGAGTAAATACAGTTGGGAAATTTTAGCACAAAAGTCAGGGGCAAGTCCGCAGAGCAGGTGATTTATCAGTTCCTCGCGTTGATGTGAGATCGATACAAGAATTGTTTTCGGTGCAGTCAGCGTGTTATCTAAACATTTACTACCTTCTCGCAAATTCAGTATGCTAAGAGTATTAATGCAAAATGGCGAAAATGGCTGGGCGAATTTCGCCTCCTCTTCAAACAACGAACTTCTTGAACTCCTCAGGTGGTAACTAAAACACTTCCATTAAGCGTTCCAACTTTCAACAACTGGGAGGCAAGTAATCTCAGTGTTATCTCAAAATCCGTGCATCCAATGTACTTTCCTTCCCTATCTTGGAGAGTGGTGCATCACCCCTATTGCTTCACTGTCTTAAATCTCCAGCCTGACACAAACCCCCACAGCAAAACCAACGCAAAAACGAAAAGCTATGCTACTAAACAAACATTGCAGAACAGACAGTATGCAAATAATACAAGCATCACATAGGGGAATATCTGTTTCATGCTCATTTCTCTTCTACCGATAGACTCACGATTGAATATTTTAAAACACAAATACCAAAATAAGATGAGGCATAGCAAGCGATTAAAAATTATCTGACGTACCTTCTCGGGTAAATAAGCTGAGGTTACAATATTCAACATTCGTGATGGATGGCAAGCGCTCTGATGGATTGATGTGTATCGCGTATTGGTGGATTAAATCTCAAGGTCATTTGTTCAAATAAACTGCTGAGGCCGTCAGCAGGTTATTGAGAATGGCCTGTGGATGGTTTGTTATCATGCCCACAGACTGGTCTGAGTCTTAATAGTTGAAAACTTTAACTGGAACATGTCAGCGGCCGGCCTGGGTAGAGCTTTGGGTGCAATATCACTGATTAACATGGGAAACGTAAAATTTGCGAAAAATCAGTACGAGGGTCGAAGCTAGACTCCGATATCCACGACGAAGCTTTGCAGCGTCGCGAGATCAGCACTCTTAACTAGTAAGAGAGTGTACACCTGTACTGTTATTTGCGTGCGCAGTAGTGGTCACTGTGGTCACTGTGGTCGGGGCTGAACCAAACGGCCGTGGGACAGGCTGCGTATGTGCTAAGAATGTGCACGAGCTGCAGATGGGTCCAGACTGGAAGCCCTCACGCGTAAGATTTCCTGTACCTAATTCACCCATTATCCTTAAGGCTGTGCCCACACCACCCGCTACCCATTCTCAATGCTCGCGCTTTACCCAGCCGCATGCATTTTCGCACTTAGCCCTATTTTTATAACGATTCAGACATGCTGAAATGCAAGCTTACTATTACAGTGAAAATACAAAAGTACTTCAACTGGAACTAATCAGGGTCAGGACCAAAGTACTCTACAGCATTGTGGACTTTTTTGTACATACTCGGCCATTTGCGAATATACTTCTCCATACCCGTCCCCATGTCAGAAGTGTCCCCCAAATATATACTTAGCCCAACGTGATACTCATTACATATGGGTACCAGACTGTGAACCCACGCGTGTATATTGCCCACCCATGTGTTCATCCAGTCCGTGAAGTTGTCTAGTTCGGGCTGAAGAAAATCTTAACATAATGCTCTTGCCCTTCGACCATGAATTAAAGGTAAAAACGTGTTAAATATAGGTGTCAAATGTAAGATGCACCGTGTGTGACATTTCTTTTCATACTTTATTTGCAAGTCACGGCAGTGCGTTGGCAATAGTCGCCAAATTTGTAACAAGTTGAGAGTCGTAAAGCATTGTGACTGATGAGTGTCCTTTACCATTGCCGTGTCCGGCCATGCCTGGCCAGAGGGTGACCAGCCAATTTGAAGTGATTGCTCAGCCTAGCGCGGGAATATTGGCAGACCTGCGTCAGCTAAGCCCTCGTGAAAGGCAGACTTTCCAGTTCATAGATGGAACCCTTTAGCGTAGGCTTCCATATAAGTATGGTTCTATTACCTTCGGTTTTGTCACTGCCTGCATAATGGCGGTTGTCAAATAAATCCCCCCCCCCCAGCCCCCCAGTAAAAAGATGCATAGGAACCTGTCTTAGGGATCTTCCCAACCTAGAGAAAAAAACATTAGGCTTCCGCGGGCACCACGAGCAGAAAGTGGGTGTTTTCCTGTGGCCTAGGTTAGGTCACGCCGCTAAATGAACCGGTATTGGGGGGACATCTACAACAGGCATAGGTCACAGTAAAACACGAAATAAACTGAACGAGGGAAGTGAATGAGCTGCCTA